GTGAATAATGATATTTTAAGTGTTTTTAAAAAAAATATAATTTTAATGGAAATGTGTTATTGGCATAACATTGTTTTACATTAAATCCAATGAAATTTTAAAACAATGCCATGTAAAATTGTTTTTGCATAAATATGTATAATTTATTTTGTCAAGCTATATAAACGCAATACTATGAAGAAGAAAAAGGTTATGTGAGATGGTGACACCTTCAAAACTAATTAATTAATCATTATTTTAAGAGATTTATTTCACATACACTAAGTCGATTACAATATAAACGTGTCCTAATTTTTAAATTACATCAGTTGTCTATCTAAGATAAAAAAAAAGATACATGTGTTCTCTCTATATTGCTCTTAAATACTTTTTTAAATTTGCATTTCGAAAAATCTTTAATGATAATTAACAAATGCTAATAAAATCATATATGTTTTTTCCTTGATTTATGTGTCCACATCATTGAACTACAATTTGAAACTTTTGGACTAAACTTTTTAATAAAGTGAAATTATCCTTTTTCCAGTTTTTTTAATTGTGAAATTTTGAATCAAACTCTAATATCTCGATATGGATAGGTAAAATGGTTCGACGGATATTGAATATGTTGTTGAAGTTTGTTTACATATTAATGTCGAAGTCGTGCATGTTATAGTCAAATTGTGTTCGGGCATGCAGTAGTTGATAATGTTAGATTTGTTAGCATGTCGAATTGGATCAGTTTTTAAGCTCAATTTGTTTAAATTAGCTTGTAGCATAAGTTAGCTTAGTAATATATAAATATATTAGTTCTCTTAGGTTATTGAGAGAGTTTGATTGTTGTTATTAACTTGTAATCTATAAACCCTAATAAAGAGAGTGAGTAAAAAAGTAGTTACAATCAATCCTAATTTTCTTCTTCTTGTTTCATAAGTAATATTCATTAGAAGATAAGTAATATTCATTAGAAGATAAAAGTCATCAGAAAGACCACTGCACTCAACAGAAGAAATATTATGACCACTTATAACAAAAACATCAGCAGTTCTAAGGAATGCTGAATGTTCATCAAAAAGAGAATCAATACAGAGATCAAGAGATTAGAATGGAGATATTCAACAAAAATCAGATGTACTAATATAAGTTGTTGCTTCAGAAATCAGACATCAGATATGCAACTTAAAAAAGTTGATAATCAAGAATCAAGGATCAAGTCAAGAAGTAGATCAAAAGAGCTTTCACTCAAAGAAGAAATTGTTCATCAGATAAGTTGTTGCTTGTATATTTGGAGATAATGTTTAAATATCTAAAAGATTGTGACTCTGTAACAAATAAGAATCTTCTGGATCATTATCACTCCTCAGATCATAAACAATCTAGCAAGAAGAAAAGAATCAAAGCTCAAGAATTCAAAGACTTGAGAACCAGATAGGTTGTTGTCGTAATATCTGATTTTAGTGTCTATCATCATAAAAGCTTTTGATATCTTCGTCAGAAAAACTTTCATGAACTATCAAGACTTGTTTTATTCAGATATGCTTTTTTCGATTATTCTGAAAACAAGAATCGTTTATTGTAAGTGACTGAAGAAAAACATCTTCTTAACACAATATTCATATCTCGGATCAGAAAAGAAATTTGCCTTCAAGAGTAGTTCTAGTTTGGAAGAAAAGCTTTGTGTTTCAGATAGGTTGTTGCCCATAATTCTGAAGACAATATTTGGTTCTGACACTTTGGTGTTCTCGCGCTACAACAACAAAGTAGTTTTTGGACTACTCATCAGTGAGTCATCAGAAGAAAAGAAGACAAAGACAAGATCAAAAATTATCTTCCAAACTTACTATTTCAAGCAGAAGTAAATCATCATAAGATAAAGTTTAAGAAACTTAAAAATGAAGTTTATAGTACAATTAATACATTAAAAAAATTCAACCACTTTCTTACATATTGTACTATGTTGTCTCCCATGATGAAATGCTACCGTTACTGTAGTTGGAAAAGGAAAGCGAAATCTTCGTACTACCAATGGTCTTATTTCTCAAGTCTATATAAGGAGACCTCATCAGCATTTGAAGATTGATGAACTATCAACCACTATCACTCTTGAATCAAATTGTTGAAATACTGTGAAACACTAAGAGAAAATAAGAACCACTATTCATATACATCTACAAATATTCTTCTAGAGAAATATCAAGAACACAAGAGTTGTTGCTCGTTATTGTGTTAAGATACCAAAGGTTAAACACAAAGAGTTGTTGCTCATTATTTGTGTGTTAATCTTAGAGTTCTCAATACAAAGAGTTGTTGCTCATTATTTGTATTAGAGACTTTGTTATTTATAGTTGTGTTAATATGCTTATTTAGAAGCAAACATTGTAAACACAATTGATTATAATTCTGTTAAGAATTAATTATTTCCTCAAGTGACTATGTTGTAGTTTGAGACTTGAGAGGGCTAAGGTGTTAGGTAGACTCTTAGATGACTGTTGTTAGTCACTGGCAGATAGCCCGTGCATCTATAATCTGTTGAGATTGGTGGATTAAGTCCTTGTTGTAGGCGGAATCACCTGGGAAGGATGGACAAGAGAAGGATAGTTAGAGGTGAACCTGGATAAACCAAAGTGTCTTTTATTATATTTCCTTAGCCATAGTCTTTCAAGTTTGATTGAGAATTATTTTTCATAAAAACTTTGTTTATAAAACCCAATTCACCCCCTCCCATTTCTTGTGTTTTTCTCACTCTTCAAAAGTACCTCTTTTCCTTGTTTAACCCTTAGACCTCTAATATGGTCTTCCCATCTCACCCTCACTTATCCTTTCACCAATTACAACTTTGTCCCTAATATCTCTATGCACCATATCATTCTATTTTAATAATAACAGTAATTATAAATAATTATTCTAAATTATCTAAATTACTAAAATATCCATATTCATCATAACTCAACAATACTCCACAACATAACATCACAACACACGTCATATTCCTCAATTCATCACACAATCACCAATAGTTCATAAATAATCACAAACATCTAATTAAATAATTAATCTAGATTTTTGGGGTGTTACAGTTGCCAATTAATTAGTAGTGTCTTGTTTGCAGTCACGAGTTATTGGATGCAAATAATCCATTTACCTTGAAAAGTCATCAAAGACATTAAAGCTACATGCAGAAGCTATCTATGGAGTGGTAAAGAGATTTTTAGCAGGAAGACACTCATTTTGTGGGAAAAAAATTCGTGGTCCAAAAGTGGTCGGTGGTTTAAATATCACTTCATTTCAAGTTTGGAATAAAGCTGCGATGGGTAAGCTGCTGTGGAATATTCATAAAAAATCGGATAAGCTGCGGATTCAGTGGTTGGAAACATATTATTTCAAAGGACATAATGTGCTACAGTGGTAAAACCCAACATCCTGTTCGTGGATTTTGAAGAAGATTGTCAATAACAGGGATTATATTTGTGTGACAGATTGTTAGGTTGATGCAGATGTTAAAAGGAAGTACAAAACTAGGCTAATGTACAAAGAGCTGCATGAGAACTATGTGCAAGTTTGTTGGGACAAAATCCTGCTGAACAACCGCGCGAGATCCAGAGCAAAATTCACCTTGTGGATGAGCTTATGGAGGAAATTACCAATGAAGGACATGTTAGCTAAATTTGGAGTGAATGTTGACAACAAATGTTGTTTTTGTGACAGTTTGGAATTCGTATAACACTTTTTTTTTTTAGTTTAATACTTTAAAAAATATCTGACAAAAGATGCTAAACTGACTTAGAATTAGTAGGAACCACATGGGATGGACTAAGGATATAATTATTCATAGCATTAAGATACGATGTACATTGTATAGCAAATTGAATATACATATCAGTAAGTATACTTAGTTTAGGTGTGTTAGGCGTCCTGGATCCTAGCGATCGGATTATGTTTATTGTTTTTGATGAACACAATTTTAATGCTATTCTTTCAATTTTTTTCCCAATAATTGACTGTATCTTTTGGTAACAAAACAATTGACTGTATTTTATTATAATATATTTTGTTACAATTATTTTAATTATTTAATTTTGTTTTTAATAGTTTAATTATTTAATTATTGCGAAGTTTACCATTATATTTTGTAGAATTATATTGCAATTTTATTTTGAAATATTTTAATTTTATATTTTGTAATATTTTGATCAAAAGAGTCACTCATTATAAGACCGAGGAAGTACTATTTACTATGTTATTAGGTTGTATTTTACCCGTCACTATTAACATAAAATACATATTTTATTTTAATTAATAATTATTTCTTTTAGAGTTAAAATTCTTTTTTTTCTTCTTTTCCATGAATCAATTTTTTTCTTCTTTTCCATGAATCAATTTTTTTCTTTGTATAGTTATTTAATAATTCAATAATTAATTTTAAATTTATGTGTATTTAAATAATTTTACACCATATCAATTGTATAATAGTATAATATACTTTTTAATTTTAATAAAATTTTAATAAAATTAAAAATTTATTTATCTCACGGATCATTGTCAAAACAATATCTATTTCAATTTAATAATTATTTTAATTTAAAAGACAAAATTCTTTATTTTAAAATATTATTTTTTTCTCAATCTCACTATTCTTTTTCTTTCTTTCTTTTTATATGATCATTTAATACAATTAAATCAATATTATTATTATTCATTTTACAATTAAGTAAATTATTATAATTTAAAATTTATATTTAACAATATATTCGTATACATATTGCACATACCTTTTATTTTTTAATAATGGCTCGTTTAAAATTTTACATTTACCTTTATTAAAAATTCATTTTTTCTCCAATTCACATATTTTTTTAATATAATTACTTTAATATAATTAAATTTATACGATTATTATTCATTTATAAGGAAGGAATAAGAGCTTTTGAAGAATGCATTGTGCTTCAAGAATGAAGTGATTTATAAACTCAGCTAAACCCTAAAAAAAAAAAACATTTTGATTAAAGAGCGTGTGAAGAAAAATGGTTGGAACCAGAAATTTGATCGTTCGATCATTGGCACTTCGTCACGCAATCAAGAACACTGTTCGTCCTCTCTTAACCAACACCAACCTTCATTCACGAATTTCCAAATCGTCTCTCTTCGCCGCCACACTCGCCTCTTCCTCCTACTCCTCCCACCTCTCCTTCCACCATTCCCGTTCCCTTTCCTCCGCCTCAGGTTTTTTCAATCTTTATATTTTCTAACTACACGCTGCATTGCATAACGCTAACCTACTGAATCAATTTTCAATCATTTTCAGCTTCCCCTGGCCTTATCCTTGTTGATTCCGCGGAAGAGTTCGATAAAATCCTTAGCAAAGTTCAAGGTCTGTTTTCTAGCTGTTTACTCTTTAATTTTCCTTCATTCAATTGTTTTCTCATGAATTTCTGTTGAATAGATGACTCGTTGCACGCGATTTTCTATTTCACTGCTGTTTGGTGTGGACCTTGTAAGTTCCTTTCGCTTTTGTTTTGTGAAGTTTGTTTAGTGATCAAATTTCAAATCTAGGGTTTATTTATATAGTTAACAAGCTACTAATAAATGGTAAGAGATTGTATTGCAAGTATAATTTGTTAACCCTTTTTAATAACCTATGATTTAGTACGATTTTTGCAAGTGGTAATGTAAGTATAAATGCATAACACACTTTATTATGATGTATGTACATTGCATTTTAATTCTTATAGCAATGATGATCAATCATTGAGGAGGTTAGAATTATGTGCAAGTTAATGCGGTTTCAAATCGTAGGATATGTTGGTAAAAAATCTGAGTTTTGTTAGTCAAATATCTGAGTTTCATAGCCAGGAAGGAACTCTAAAACTAAGTAAAAAATAGGAGAACTTAAAGAAAAGCATGTGTAGAATTGATTCATTTCTTTCTTGGAATTCCTATTTCAATCACTTTGAACATGGGAGGTTACACTTATATTTTTCAAATGTTCGTCAAATGCCACTTCTGTGGATATATCCATGTTTCTTTTCACTTGAAATTTTTGTGTGTATTTGCTAATATAAAATGGTGTTTTTAATACATTCATATACAGAAAGGGTCGCATAGATGTTCCCGTGTCTTTTTCTTCTTCATGTATTCCATATTCCCATCCCTTTAGTTCTTCTGTAACGTAGTTGAATGGATCAACAGTGTTACATTCTATAGCTGAATTAGGTTAGGTTTATTCATTGATGATAGGTCCCCTAAATGCCCTCATGGAAGTTGAAAATAACAATGATGTCTCGTATTAAAAATACAAAATAGAATTTGTTCAAAAAAAAATAAAATAGATTTCTGCAGACTGTTCTGGTCGAAAGGTTACTCATGTGTTAAAACCTCCAAGTGCCTGTGTGAATATTAAGTGGGTTACTGTCTATGCCCGAAGACAGTATGCTTAGAGGTTGTGTGCATGTTTAAGTCTTCATATATTTTTGATGGTACATGAATACTCAAAAGAAAATTTCACAGTTTTGCTACTGCGTGTTTCTGTTTAGGCAGGTTCATTTCTCCTATAGTTGGGGAGCTCAGTAAGAAGTATCCTAATGTGGCAACTTATAAGATTGACATTGATCAGGTGTGGAATATATTTAATAGTGTAATATATGGTTTTGAATTTTGGACCAGATAATGGTTTACATATTGGAATTTGAAAAGCAAATTTTTGACTTTATATTAGATTTTCAATAAGATTTACAATTAACATTTCAACTTATGGTCTATGTAAGTTTCTAAGTATATAATCGATTGTTTATAAAATTAGCATGATTTCTACCTCTCTCCACTTTACATTTTGATTGTTTTTTGCTTTTCAAAATTTGCTACTTCGGTGAGAATCACCGGCCATTTCCTTATTGGATCTGGTGATTTCTCTATAGTTTTCAGATTTTTATTACTTCCATTTTAGAAGCATGAATTTGTGATGGCTTGAAAATATTGTTTTTTTATATGCTAAGCATCACAGTGGTAGAGTGGCCAAAATATTTACATTTCCCTCCTAATTTATCCCAGGAAGCAATTCAAGACACATTGAGCAGGTTGCAGATTACATCTGTGGTAATTTATTTAATCTTGTCAGAAATTTATTTGTTCAAATATTGTTTGTGGAGATAAAAACCTTCAAATATGCTGTACAATATAATCTGCCCACTTTTACTCATCAATCACGATAGTCATCAGCCATTCATAAGTTGAAATGGTTGTGCAATTTGAAATTTTGCTCCAGTTAGAGTGATCCATTTTATTAATCCATATCTCCTGTTTGATTCATTCTTTCTAAAATTGCTTCAATGTTTCCAATTAATGACAAACTTCAGTTATGTTTGTGATTTTTCTGTGACGGGGACAAAAACCCTTTTCTACCCCATTTTGTTTTCGTTATGTTTGTGATTTGCCTTCATTAGGTCGTGTTTTTCCGTGATGGGGACATAATCCCTTTCCTACTCCCTTTTGAGTATAGACCCATCATGTTTTGGTTATGTTTGTGATTTGCCTTCATTTTACATCAGAAAATTCAAGTTTCTGTTTCGATGCAATGCTGTACAGACTCAATTAGGTAGTGTTTAATTGTTTATTGATTTTGGTATGTTTGTTAGTTTACACACACTTGATGAGAATTTTGGCTTACGTAGAACATGTACCTCTGCTTGATGAGGATTTTGGCTTACGTAGAACATGTACCTCTGTTGGTCTTCTCGCCGAGTGAATTCATAAGTTGAACTCAAGATCTTATCTCCTTTACGCATTCAGAATTAAAATAGTGAATGACTGATGATTATGACTTGTTTTTTCTATGATTAATGAAATGTTCTGGTTGAACTAGATCGACTGAATTGTTTATATCCAAGTAAATTGATACATTTATCATTTTTTTAGTTCTTGGATGTACAACACTTTGCTTAAACTTGTTCCTGCAATCCTTATATACATATATATTACTCTGCAAAAGTGAGATGGCATAACAATGACATACCTTACTGCAGCCGACACTTCACTTCTTTCAAAATGGGAAAAAGACTGATGAACTTATAGGTGCAGATGTTGCGCGATTGAATCATATTACAGAGAAACTCTTCAAGTAATGCTTCATATTTAACTCCATTTTATGTTTTGTTTTGTCAATTCCCCTTCCTTCTATTAGGTTTTTCATTGGTGCCAACTTAGGGTTGTAATATTCTACTCTTCTGGATCTGGTTTTTGATCAGTTGTGTATATTGCTTCATAACCAAGAGTTATGTATTTCAGGAAGGACTAACTCCGGCGCTGAGGTGGGAATTGCTGTTGGCTGATTGAGTACTAAATGATAAAACTGCAACTGCTTAATCGTACTTTAGGTGTCACCCCGGTTTAGTAGATTGGTCTCAAATGTCACCGCCAACTTTGAAATGTGTTATTTATGGCAACCGTTTGATGTTATTTTAAATCTCTACGAAACCAGAGAAAGAATTGCGTTCTTGTGTAGGACACGGAATATTTGTTATAATCATACTAAGTGATTTCTTATATCATATAAAAGATTACTGTCAAGTTGAAAAATCTTGATACATACAATCATTTAACGTTAGTTTTTGTGAAATATATCAGATACTGAGAGAAAAGGAAATAGAAGTGGTGAAAACCAGGGGATATTTTGATTAACAAAATGATTTGATATATAGTCCTTGTATATATGTTATGAAACTAGTGACATTTATGTGATATTCATACTCTTCAGATTTGTTAAGGATTTTCACTCAACCGTTGTTTAACATCTAGCAGGTTATGTGAAATATTCTTGGGACAACATGAATTTCAAAAGTAAAAAATTACACAGCATAGAAATATACCAACCTAAAATCAATAATAATGTTGTAATTATTGAAGGGCAAAACCAAATATCAAATTATAAGCAATTATTTTGTGAGTAAGCACCAGCTATTATAAGAGGGCTCTCGAAATATCCTAATATAAATATATTTTTATATCACTTATTAAATTTTTGGTAAAGATAAGAAAGAGTGGAATAGACATTCCAGACAAGAACAGTTGCAGCATGACCGTCATGGCTGCACAGTGGGTGCACCAACCTTGTCATTTTCCTCGTGCTTCCGCAAACAAACTAGGTACGCATCATCATCGATCACAGTACCAAACTACGCCTATTCTTTTGGTGTCGCAAACTCCAAAGCTTTCAAATGACCCAACTGGAAGAAGATTAACCAAACCCCTTGCATTTGCAGCCACAAAAAGACAATACGAACAACCCAGCATTCAACCACTCATTGATCTCTTAAAGTCCTGCGAGGAAAATGGGTCTCTGAAACAAGCCAATTGCATTCACGGGCATGTTTTAAAATCTGATTTTATAGATCGAGACAATTTGGTGTTTCTGAACCACGTAGTTCATATCTATTCAAAATGTATGGATTACTATTCTGCCCGTAAGGTGTTCGATGGTATGTCTAAGAGAAACGTGTTTTCTTGGACTGTCATGATTATTGCATCGAACAACCATGGCTACTACAGTTACGCATTAGAACTTTTTTGCAGGATGTTGGAACAGGGTTTGTTGCCTGATGGGTTTGCATTCTCTGCTGTTTTGCAGTCTTGTGTTGGATTCGATTCCCTTGAGTTGGGTGAGATGGTTCATGCCCAAATTGTTGTTAGGGGTTTTCCGATGCATGCCTTTGTTGGGACACCTCTTCTCAACTTGTATGCAAAGCTAGGAAAGTGTCAGTGTTCTGTTAAGGTGTTCAACAACATGACAGACCTTAATAATGTTTCTTGGAATGCAATGATTTCTGGTTTTACCTCTAATGGTTTATACCTACAAGCATTTGATTGTTTTCTTGCTATGATTGAAGTTGGCGTGTCGCCGAATAAAACCACATTTTTATGTGTTTCGAAGGCAGTTGGGCTGTTAGGTGATGTTAACAAGTGTCGTGAAGTTCATAGGTATGCTTCTGAATGGGGATTGGATTGCAATGCTTCGGTTGGAACAACTCTTATTGATATGTACTCTAAGTGTGGGTTTCTGTCTGATGCACGGGTGTTTTTTGACTCGAAGTTCATGAGTTGTCTGGTTAGCGCGCCTTGGAGTGCAATGATAACAGGCTATTCACAGGCTGGTTGTCACTTAGAAGCTTTGAAAATGTTCACAATAATGTGTGAAAATGGCGTCAATCCAGATCTTTACACATTCTGTTCTGTGTTCAACTCAATTGCTGCTTTAAAGTGCCTGAAACCCTTAGAGGAGACACATGCGGTGGCTCTAAAATGTGGACTCAATGTGAGGGAAATTAGTGTATCAAATGCCCTTGCTGATGCTTATGTCAAATGCGAGTCACTTGAAGCTGGAGAGAAGGTATTCTATAGAATGGAAAAGAAAGATATAGTATCTTGGACAACCATGGTGAATGCATATTGTCAATATTCGGAATGGGGGAAAGCCTTGGCTATCTTCTCACAGATGCGGAATGAAGGCTCTGCACCCAATAGTTTTACCTTATCAAGTGTGATTACAGCATGTGGTGGTCTTTGTTTACTGGAATATGGCCAGCAAATTCATGGTCTAATATGCAAGGCCAGCTTGGATACTGACTCATATGTTGAAAGCGCCCTAATTGACATGTACTCTAAATGTGGCAATCTGAGAGAGGCAAAGGATATATTTGAAAGGATATCTAACCCGGATACTGTTACCTGGACTGCAATTATATCCACTTATGCTCAACATGGTCATGTTGAAGATGCCCTTCAACTCTTCAGAAAAATGGAACAATCAGCTGTGAAAGTCAATGCTGTTACATTGTTATGTATACTTTTCGCATGTAGTCATGGAGGGATGGTGGAGGATGGCCTGAAAATTTTCAATCAGATGGAGGGTACCTATGGCGTTGTACCAGAAATGGAACATTATGCTTGTGTTGTTGATCTCTTAGGCCGCGTTGGCCGCTTAGATGAAGCAGTGGAATTTATCGACAGAATGCCAACCGAGCCGGACGAGATGATTTGGCAGACTTTGTTAGGAGCGTGTAGGATTCATGGAAATGCAGAACTAGGGGAGACTGCTGCTCAAAAGATTCTATCAACTCAACCGGAACATTCTTCTACCTATGTTCTTTTGTCCAACACTTACATAAAATCAGGGTTACTTGGAGATGGAGTTAGTTTGAGAGATGCCATGAAAGCACGAGGCATTAGAAAGGAACCAGGGTATAGTTGGATTTCTGTGAGAGGTGAAGTTCATAAGTTTTATGCTAGAGATCAACAGCATCCCCAGAAAGATAAAATCTACACTATGTTAGAAGAGTTGACTAGGAATATTAAGTACATACATTATGAACAAGAATTAAGTATAATATTCTAACACATGAATTCAACTTTTTTATTACAATATTGCTTAAAAGCTAAGGAAAATAAAGGAGGGGATAGAGGGGTCATCCAGGCTTGTGACAAAAGTAATAGCATGATTTATGTTATGACCAAAAGTGTGAATTAACAATTGATAGCATGTGGCCAACTATTAGTACAAATATAAAATTCAATTTGAGAGAGTCTGGGTATTGCCATTGGTGTTTTCCAAATTGGAAAACAACATGTTTATAATGTTGAATCGATGCGAGGTATAGTTGATTTATGACTTTATTTATAAGCAAAAGTCTTCTAAATATTTTGGCTTATAAATATAAACAAATATCTACAAATCTATGTACATTTAATGTTTGTATTACAAATTATCTCTGCATTAGTTATTTAATATCGTTAGTGGATAACAATTTAATTAAAGATATATTAGTAATTATATAATCTCTTACATGAAATAAAAAAAAATAAATGCACTCAATTATCTTTTTAAATAAACATGAAATTTGTCTTTTTTATTTATAAATCAGACCGGAATAGAATGTGACTAATATTTGTTGGGGGTTGCTAGAATTTCCTCTCCCAACCATTTTTTTCTTCGAACTTTTGTTTAAAAAATCTGAACTAAGTTTCACGTATAGCCACTACTATATAATGTTGGTGCAACATATCTCCGTCTACTAAGAAAATTCAAGTTAACCCACTTCAATGCTTTAAATTATATAATGAAGATTTTCAATTTTCAATTATAATTGAGTTAAAATATAAGTTAGTCCTGAATGCTTTAACTTCCTCAAATTATTTATGTTTTCCTCCAGTAATTAACACATGTTGAATAACTCTTGTGTCTATTCAATTAATTAAAATTGTTTAAAAACAAATGATCAAGGGTATATATATATTTGATCTCTCTCAACTAACTTAATTGAATAGCTTAACTAACTTAACAAACAACTTATTAACCTAACTAACAGCTAATTGATACTCTAATACTCCCATAAGCTGGAGAATACAATACAAAGTATGAACACCAAACTTAGGATAATGATGTTGAAAGGTTATAAATTCAACGACTTTACGAAGATATCTGCTACCTGTTGGGAAGAAGAAATGGGTAACAGACGGAAAAGACCTTACTGGAGCTTTCCATAGACCAAGTAGCAATACAAGTCAATGTGCTTGTTACACTCGTGAAAGAGGAATTGCTGGCGATGTGTGTAGCAGAACATTACAATACATTAAAACTGGTTGAATGAGGGAGATGTGGAGATCTTTGATGATGTGTGTGAGCCATTAGAGCTCATAGAATGTGGAAGCCATGGCAATGTATTCAACTTCAGTGGAACTTCGGGAGATAATGTATTGCTTCTTAAATTTCTAAAATATCAAGGAGTTGCCTAAGTAGATGCAAAATCAACCGACAAATTTGTGTGTATCTTAAAACTCAAATAGGTTTGCTCATGTGTTGCTCAAATGTGAACAACAAGGGAGATGTCTAGGTGAGTGTTGAGTAAATATATAAGTTGATCAACTATTATTTTATTAGATGTTGGTGTCCAAGGAAGAGATAAAAGGCAAAAGAAATATATTTACCGACAGTTTCAAAATAAAGATTTATAATGAATTTCAATAAGCTACTTCACTAGACTATTTATACACAAAATTAAATTTAAAATATATCTTCTAACAAAGATATAAGAAGATCTAAAATATATATATTCTAACAAAAATATAAACAATCTAAAAAATATTTCTAAATATAAATTAATATCTAATTATTATAAAATCTAAATTAATTCTAACACAATCCCTTAATTTATATTTATCCAAAACTGACAACACCAATTTCACCCCTTAAACCAAGAAATTGATCAGTTTTGATAGCATTTGTAAGAACATCTTCCAGCTGCTTCTGGGTGCTATAGTGTACAACTTCTAATATTCCGCTCTGAACTTGATTCCTTAGAAAATGATATTTGGTCTCAATATGCTTGCTTCTCCTATGGAACACTGGATTCTTGGCAAGATTAATTGCAGTCTTGTTATCAATCATCAGCTTCAGAGGTTTATTTACCTCAATCTTCAGATCTTTCAGCAAGTTCAGAATCCACACAGCTTGACACGCAGTTAGAGCGCCTGCAATATATTCAGCTTCACAAGTTGACAGAGCAACAACAAGTTGCTTCTTAGAACACCAAGAAATAGGACCTCCCAAAAATTTGAATAAGTATCCAGAAGTACTTTTTCTGTCAACTCTATCTCCGCACCAATCAGAATCAGAATAACTCAGAAGTTCTGACTCGATCTTTCTTCCAGACGGTAATAACACTCCATATTTCAGAGTTCCTTGAACATACCTCAGAATCCTGACTATAGCTTGGTAATAAGACCACTTTGGTTTGCTCATAAATCTGCTAACCATTCCAACTGCATAGCAAATATCAGGTCTGGTATTACACAAATACCTTAGAGAATCAACCATCTGTTTGAAGGTTGTAACATCCACATCCTCTCCATCAGAATCAGAGTCTAACTTTTGATTTGTATCAGCAGGTGTGATAGCAACTTTGTAATTTTCTAGCTCAAATCTCTTCAGAAGCTCTAGTTCATACTTCAGCTGATGCAAAATGATTCATTTCTCAGAGTACATAAATTCCATCACTAGAAATAAACTCATTTTTTCAAGATCTGTCATCTCAAATGCATTCATCGGAACTTTCTTGAACTCGACTATCTCTTGTTCAGAAATTCCTGTGAGTAATATGTCATCAACATACAAATAGACCAGAATCATATTACCTTCTGAAGTATGCTGAACATAAACACCATACTCCATCTCACACTTCTGAAACCCTTGTTCCTTGAAAAACGAATCAATCTTCAAATTCCAAGCTCTGGGTGCTTGCTTCAATCCATACAAGGCTTTGTGTAATTTGAACACCATCCCTTCCTGATTCTTTTTCTTAAATTTAGGAGGTTGTGATACATATACCTCTTCTTGTAATTGACCATTTCAGAAATGCATATTTTACATCTAAATGCATCAGAGGCCAATTCCTGTTAGCAGCTATTGTAATCACTAGTCTGATTGTTTCATGTCTCGCTACAGGTGCAAACACTTCAAAGTAATCCAGCCCAGACTTATGTAGAAAGCCTCTTGCTACTAATCTCGCTTTGTGTTTGCCAATTGATCCATCTGGATTTAGCTTCTGCTTGAAAACCCATCTAACGCTGATGACTTGCTTGCCTTTTGGAAGTTATGTCAGCTTCCAAGTCTTGTTTCTCTATATAGCATCAAGTTCTTCTTTCATGATCTGTAACCAAACTTGCTGCTTAAGAGCCTCTTCCGTACTCACGGGTTCAGAGTCTACTAACATTTCACACTGATAATTTTGTGTGCTAAAAATATATGATTTCTCTGTATAATTTTGAAACAAGATTCTGGAAATAAAATAGGTTGCAGTGATTTCTCTCTTTGATTGTTATCTTTTTGGGTTTCTCTATCGAACAACATGGATACACTTTATTATTGTACCTTCCAATGTATGTCTTGGTTTATAGAACTCAAATTTTGAATTGCACCATTATAAATATGCATTAAGTGCAAGTCTTGACTCCTATGTTGCTTGACATTTGAATTTATTTAGCATTATTACAATTATGCGGCAAGAGTAAGTCTTACTTACTATGTGGCTTGACATTTAATTTTATTTACACTACTACAAATAATATATTTCATGACGAAGCTTTCACCTCAGCATAAAAAAGATATAATGTCAAGACACACCATGTTTTACATATTTTCTCAGTTTTTATTATAACTGAGGGAAAAAATAATTCAGGACACGCTTCGAATCTCAGTTGTTACAGTTTATGTTTTTATTTGTTTATAAGTGTAAACTAAATGATCTATCATTTTAGTTTCTGTAATAACCGATGGATAAAGTAATCCGATTTTACTATAAAAGCACTCATTAAACAAATTTAAACTTAATATTTACTTATATGTAGTCGCTCCAAACTCGTATACATCATTCTTTGGGATAGACTGCAAGACGAAAAAATATTCAATGTTCTTCAATCTTGAACAAAAAATTTCTCTGTCCTTGCAATCTATCTCACATAATGGTGTTGATGTTGTTGTTGTTGTAATTTTGGAACAACCCTTAGTTAAAGAATGGAGCTCAACCTTTGAAAAATACTCAATGATAGATTGCAAGTGCAGAAAATCACTATTACTTCAATTTACACAAAGAAGGGAGCTCAACCTTTGAAAAATATAAAAAATCATTCTTGCTTCAAGTTAAACAAAGAAGGGAGATCAACCTTTGAAAAGAAAATTTCTCATTTTCGGAACAGATAACTTATCAGAAGTATGATAAGTTATAAAGGTTTTTAGGGGAACAAAGGGTATGCAACTAAATCTGGATATCAACGAAAATAATCTGTAATAAGACACATTATTTTCGTTGATATCCAGATTTAGTTGCATATCCTTTGCTCCCCTAAAAACCTTTATAACTTATCATACTTCTGATAAGTTATCTGTTCCGAAAATGAGAAATTTTCTTTTCAAAGGTTGATCTCCCTTCTTTGTTTAACTTGAAGCAATAATGATTTTTTATATTTTTCAAAGGTTGAGCTCCCTTCTTTGTGTAAATTGAAGTAAAAATTTATTGTAAACAATTTATTTTAATATTATATGTGAACAATATAATATAAAAAAAAAATCCTATTCACCTCAGTTTTTTTATCGTAATCGAGGGGTATGTGAAAATGTATATATTTTACCTCGGATTTTGTCTTAACCGAGGGGATAGTTAAGCGTTTTTTTTTAAAGATATTCAGTGGCATTAAACAAATATTTACCATCCATTTAATGAGTATCAATGCTCAAGACTCTGGCATTAGTGATCCGCGTGAAACCTAAGAGATATCTATTATAAAAATATGTTGAATATTAACATTTCTTACCTAAAATAAAAATGAAGTGCTTGAAGCCTA